ACTCGGGTCATGATTGGATCCCAAAGGTGCTATTCGAAAGGCAACTGGAGTTTCTTGGGTTTTATTTTTCCTTGAGGGATATGATACCACCCCTCTCCTGTCAATAATACAGTCCTTTCAGCGGCACCAAGAAAGTTCCACACCCATTTGCACTCTGATTCAGGTGACCCTGAGGGCACGGATAAATCCCCAAGAAGCCTCAATGGCTCTCAGAGAGAGTACTAACAAGATGACTGCAAAGCATCCAAATCCTTCCATTCCCCACCATTCAGCCAGAACTGAAGAAGCTTCTTGGATGAGAAACAAAGCGTTTTCAAGGGGGGGGGGGGGAAACACACAAGTCCAGTTGCCTTTTAGAAAAAAAAGCACCTTTGGCTCAGCTTTGCAATGTTACATCATAAAGAGAGACAAAGACACAGGTTATGGACCTCACTCTTATTTCCTGCAGGTGTTCTCGAAATACGAACGGTGGCGGTTGGAATAGTGGCAATCAAAGGAGTCGCAAGTGAATACTTTCTGGCTATGAACAAGTCTGGGAAGCTTTATGGAAAGGTACTGGCACAATTATTAGAAGCCACTTGCATGAAATGAAAAATGGGTCTGTTCCTGATTTCTTTTTTTATCAGCTGTGTTTTATACCAAGGGTCCCCAATCCCCAGGCCACAGACCGGCCATGGTGTGCCAAAACCCGGCCCACGTAAAAAAGCAAAGCCCCATCAGGCAGCACGTGAAACCACAACCCCCCTCTGGTCCACGGAAAAACCTCTCTCCGTCGAACTGGTCTCTGGTGCCCCAAAGGCTTGGAGGCGCTATTTTATACTATATTGGCCCCAGTCCATAGGAGTTGCTAGATGAGGGCATATGACTGGTGGCTTTTATGAATGGCTCTCATTTACAGACAGTTGTACTGGAATGCAAACTTTCTGGAGAGCAGAGTTTTCTCTGTTTTGACTTCATTCTCCCAGAAGCCACTTTAAAAAAAAAAAAAAAGCCAAACAAAAGTCAACAGGGAGAAGAAGCTGCTGGCTAGTTGATCTGTGGTTTCTTGAAAGTTTTACAATTCTGATTTACTTTACTTACCCATTTTGTTTGGGCTCTTCTCCTAACCAGCTATGCCACCCTTATCTTGCCTCGCTCCCCATTGCAGATTAAATGCTGAACTACAACTCCCAGCAGCCCATGCAACTGACTTTGTTCGCTTTGGATGACGCAGCTGTTCAGCAACATCAGGAATGATGTTGATGTATATTAGTCCTTATTAAAAAGTGTAAGGCATTTGCCTAGTCAGTGGGTACATTTTAAGTAGATTGTACTGCGCGCAGGTAGTCCTCGACTTACGACTGGTCGCTTAGTGACCGTTTGAAGTTACTAAAAAGGGAGACAACCTGAAGTTCCGACAGTCAAAAACCCACCCACCCCGGTCACGTGACTGCACTTCAAGTGCTTGACAACACAGTCACATCTGCAGTGTTGTGACCATGATATATGATGACCTCTGCTGAAAATCAGCTCTTATTTCTAGTTTTCGGCAAAAGCACATCATAGCGAACAATGGTTTCGCTTAACGTCCGCCACATTCCCATTTAAAGCACAGCGTTCACTTAATGGCTACTCCTACTGCAATTTGACAGATCGAATCCCACCAGGCTCAAGGTTGACTCATTCTTCCATCCTTCCGAGGTGGGTAAAATGAGGACCCAGATTGTTGGGGGCAATAGGCTAACTCTGTAAACCACGTAGAGAGGGCTGTAAAGTGCTATAAAGCAGTATATAAGTCTAACTCCTATTGCTAGGTAGGTAGGTAGGAAGGTAGGAAGGAAGGAAGGTGAAGGAAAGAAGGAAGAGCCATGGTGATGCAGTGGCTACAATGCAGCATTGCAGGCTGACTCTGCCCCCTGCCAGCAGTTCGATCCTGACCAACTCAAAGTTGACTCGGCCTTCTGTCCTTCCGAGGTGGGTAAAATGAGGACCCAGATTGTTGGGGGCAAGAGACTGACTCTGTAAACCGCTTTGAGAGGGCTGGAAAGCATTATGAAGCAGTATATAAGTCTAAGTGCTATTGCTATTGCTACTTACTTCAATGACAATAGGAATTTTGTGAAATAATACCCCCCCCCCCCCCCCCGGCCAGGTATTCTTGGTATTCAACTGATCATCTCATTTTCTTTTAAACAACAGAAAGTGTGCAATGAAGACTGCAACTTCATAGAACTCATTCAAGAGAATCACTATAACACCTACGCTTCAGCAAACTGGACCCACAAAGGGAAAGAAATGTACATCGCATTAAAGCAGAATGGAGCCCCTAAAAGAGGTCAAAAAACAAGCAAAGAAGACACTTCCTCCCATTTTCTTCCATTTGCAGTATCCTAATCTTATATGAACTATGGACAACCAGTTCCAGCAATATATATATATGTATATATCAAATGAGATATAGATATATATGTATCATTTGAAAAAGGGACTGTTTGAAAGGAAGACAAGCTGGAATACTACTGAAAAACTGAACAAGCTGGACTTGAGCATGATGTTTTATTTTAAAGAGACTGGCTTTAAAAATAAATAAATAAATAAATAAAATAAAATAAATAAATGAAAATATACACTACAGATTTAGTAACTAAAAGTTGTAAAAAATTGTAAAGAGTTGTACGATCCTTACGTTAGCATAAGAGTAGCTTTGCAGATTCTTAAATTAAATGTACCCTTTGCGCCTTGTTCATGACTTGATTATCTGATGATCTTTTATTTAAAATAAACCTATCTGCTTCGTTAAACATGGCTGCTATAATAATAATAAAGCAGATGAAAATGTTATGTAAAATATGACGGACTTGATGGCTGCTGGATTAAGTCTTCAGATGATCAAGTCGGTGCGAATCGTGAAGGCTAAGCAGTATTAAATACTTCCCAGGAAAAATAAATAAATAAATAAATAAATAAAGGTATTAAGTATTAAAGCAAATTGAAATTGGAACACTGTGGTATTCAGACAATAAAGGTAATATGACAGATGAAAGTTGCATCACTGCAATGTATTCATATCTATCAGTAAGAATGCCTAATGCTGCTCTGAAAGATGTTACAAAATAGTGTAATATTAAATAATATTAATAAGGGAAATGTATTTCATCTCACTTTCCTCAAAATATCATTTTATGTAACGATGAAGTAAACAAAATTCAGACAACATCATATCGGTTTTTATGTAACATAACCTAATCTTTTTATATACTTCCTGTTTGGGCATATGGCTTCTAAGTTTTGTTTTTTTTTCCAACCGATATTCATGCTTTTCTGTGGTTACAGCATTAAACTTTATTTTAAGTTATAATTGAACTTTATTGTTTTAAGTTATTTAAGTTGATGTTATTTATAAAAAAAAATTATCAAGATGCATCTGTTTCATATGCTTTTAATTCCAAAGAAGTATCAAAACAGTCTGGCTTAGCAGCCTTTTCTTTTCTGCTCTTATATGACCAGACATGAAGTCTGGTACACAAAACTCCTGCCAATATATACTGGATGAGAGACAAAAATGACAGACTGTGGCAATTCTTACAATGAAAGTTTCGGATGTAACAACCCCTGTTTGCAAAAACAAAAAAGCAAAAAAAAAACAACCCAAAACCCATGTCCCTTGCCAGTTAAGGCTGCTGCTAATATTTTGAAAGTGACAAAAGTGGCTTGAGAAGTCAAGTGAGAAAAAAAGAACTAGCCTGCCACGGCGATCCGGATCAAATACGAAGCTATCCATTCAGATGGCAAATTCCGACGGTTTAATGGAAGAAGCTCAGAATGGCCAAATCCTCGGGTGGAGAAACCAGGCGTGACATTAACTGCAAACTTTCCTCCCCTGCCCCCCAAAGAATGGAGCCACCGTGGTGTGAGGGCCAGGAAATATGCATCATGCCTGCTCCAAATAAAAACCAGCTTCTTCCCTTGGGCTTCACAATTGGCACCACTGGTTATTTTATTTTTTTCCAAAAGGATGAATAAGCAAATGGATATGGACCAATTTTCATTCACAGCAAATGAAAAGAGTCCCTAAGGTAACATATCCAGTATTGTCCCCCATGTTATTAGATATCTTCAGAAGTCACCCTGACTGCAATAGCAGCCTCCTGTTTATGTCCTCAACTGATAGTTGGAGGTACTGCAGTAACTACATATATATCACATACATTACTGATCTGTGCATCAAGGATAATAATCAGTAATGAGCTTCATAACTCACAGATTCCTTCAGGAATGCCCACGTGATGTTCCAGAAAATCTTGAAGACATTCCCACACTGGAAACAAAACAGCAGTCTAGAGTTGCATAAATCTCATTACCATTACTTGTGGATATTGCTATGTAAGACTATAGTTGAAGAACTGAAAATAGTATTCTAAAGAAGTTACCGATTTTGGCATACCTCACTCCACATAGTGGAGAGGTCCGGTGGTTCAACGGCTTAAGGAAGCTGGAGAAGGTCTGTACTCCAGCAGTTCGAGCCCTAATCCCATGGGACAGGGTGAGTTCCCGTCACTCACCTCAGCTCCTGCCAACCTAGCAGTTTGAAAGCAGGCACAATGCAAGTAGATAAAGAGACATCAGGCCGGTAGGGGAAAACAACGCTTTGAACAACTGTACAAACTCAATCGGTGCCAATCCAAATGTGACGCCTGAGCGTTAGGTGACATGGGTGGAGGGAAAAGCCCAGATGCTGCTGCAAAACACCAATAAATTTTATGAGTATGGAGCTAGTCTGCCCCTGTGGTGCACTCTGGATAGCGTGTGAGCGTGAAGAGAACACACCAACAGACTTAGGCTGCCAAATGACTCCTTTGTAATAGCACTGTGGTCTCCTGGCGAATGTAACTTTGTCATACGCTAAATAAATAAACTCCCCAAAGCTCTGAAACTATCATTGAATAATCCCCTTTCCTGGTACTTACAGATTTTTGTTCTTGATCTTGATCTTGACCTTGATCTTGACCTTGACCTGGAACCTGACCGTGATCTTGATGCTGTCCTTCTAGGCTGTAGTTTTATAAACGATGATATCTGAGAAGAAGGCTCTTTCTCTGCTGTGGATTTTCTAGGTTTTTCCATGGAGGGACACTTCCAATTTTTCCAAGCAAATCTTTGTGGCTTAAAACCTGTAAGAGGGGCAACTAATGAACTGAATAATACTAACCAACCAAATGTTTTTGAGCTAGATCAGAGGTCCCCAAACTCTTCAGATAATTGGCCCCTTTATGACATTGCAGATTGTTCATTGATCCACAAACAATTTAATAAGTACCATACTATTTTAACTAATGTTACTTTGAATAATAATACTATAATATTATTATTAATAATAGTATAACAACAATGGACAATCTTTGAAGGTTAATACTGACCACTTTGGGGAATATCTGGGTTAATTGGTCCTTGTGGTCCTTTTCACCCCTACAATTTGATGGTTTTGTGGGGGATATTAAAATTTTCTCATTCTTAGATTTTTTTATTCCAGCTTTATTTTGTACAAAGCAAGATGGTGTACATAAGGATCGTGCTTCCTACTTTGCAAAAACCTGTGAGGTGGACTGGGCCATGAGAATCATCCAGTTGGCTTTCAAGGCCAAGGGATGACTTGAACTCCAATCTCTCAGCATGCCACATGGAAGAAAAGTCAAAAGACATCTGTGGGTTGTTCCAGAGTGTTGGACACAGAACGATGGATTTAAGAGGAAAATTATAAATGAATGTTATAAAAAAAAAAACCTCTATGAGCAGGAACAGTTCAATGATAGAACTAATTATTGAGAAGACATGGTAGGCTCACCTTATTGGAATGTGTTCAAATAAAGGCTGGGCAACCATCTGTTTGGGATACTCTAATTGGGGTTCCTGAAATGAGTTGTTCTCAGTGGCTTAATGCTAGTTTCTAACTGAATGATACTTTTGAAGAACTCAGAGAGAAAATGCTGAGTAGATGCAATTATGTGAACAACTACTGCCAGCAACTGCAAGGAAAAATAATCAACATTCTAGTACCTCTGATCCACAGGAAAATTAAATCCATCAATTCGTCTTTAAACTGATCATTGAAACGATGGTAAGACTGAGGAAAAGCTTCACAGAAAGTAATGTAAATGGCTTGGGACAAGCAGTCAGGATACATCTGCCAAGTTGCAAATTAAGTTCATTGTAAAATCTGGGTGATGTTTATATATATAAATATAAATAAATAAACAGGCATTCAAACATTGCTGAATCACCAACTGTGACAAAAATACAAGGTTTGTCCAAGAACATCGCAGGTTTGGGTGGCAGTTTAGCTTTACTGTGAAGCAAATGAACTTATGGGCAAATCAGGAAGGAGACATCTTCATCAATTTTTTAAAATTAATTAAAAATAATTTCATCACACTAATTTTGTGGTAATAGGAACATTATAACAAAAAGCCCTAATATCTTAGAAGAGGTGCTGAAAACAGGGCAGGCAGCTTAACCTGAGACTAAAAGGTATGTTAGAATCACCTTCTCCAATTGCTGCTTTTCAGATCAGTTGAGGCTACAACATCCTAACTGGGAGACTATATTTATTTTACTTACCGTACTCAATTTCTAAGTCTGTCCCACTCCTTGTGACTCTGGATAGCTTACACAGGACTAAAAAACAATTAACAATAAAAAAACAACCATTCTGGGGAGGAAAAGAGTATGAAAAATACCAGTTAACAACTGCAAACTGAAAGTTTGCGGGGCCAGAGCTTGTGGGAAGGGTCTTCCTAAAAGCCAGAGGTTTTAAAAGCCACAAAGGGCCATCACAAAGAAGGTGTAAGGGGTCCAGAATTAGGACCACCGGTTAACTTTCATTTAAGCTGACCTATTGCTCATGCTTATATACAAGAATCTAGTCAACTAACAGCCACACCTAAATTGGCGCTAGCTAAGATTTAACAGAATTTAAGAGGGGTTGTACTAAGACCGTTTGTGGCAACACAGTGATTCCAAGCTGATTCCTCTCTTGACTCTGCCTGTCCGCCTACAGAAGGCAAACTTTATCAGTGCTATGACAATGACAGGACCTGGAGCATGTCAACCCCGTCAGGTCTTATATCTAGAAGGTACCAAGTTGCTTACAGGATGAGGTGAGGGATGGGACATGAGGTCATCATCCTTTTCTTATCAAGAGGCTGCAGTTCTTAAAGTGAGTGCTCACTGCCCAAGGAATTCTGATTATGAAACGACCAGCAAATATGGAAATAAAGTATAACCTCTTCTCCTTTTCTGTGTTATTCAGGAAGGTGTTAGCTAGATTCACAAATCTCCTTATCAAGCTTTGCTAGAGTTATATGCTAAGTAGTTAAGATTACCATGAACGATTTAAACAAAAAACTTCAGAGGCAATAACAGAGCCTGAAGTGATGCCAGAGAATGAAAGGTTGAAGGATTCTGGTGTGTTCATCAACAGAAATTGATTAAATTAAGAGATAATGAGACAGAAAGATGACACACCTTTTGCTCTTCTCTGAACAGGACAAATAAAAAATAGGAGTAAAATTCAGAATTGCAAACATCATTACCTGAAGAAAAGCATCTTTAATGTAATTGGGGATGCTCCAGAGAAGCGCCACGTAGCTATCTGATATTCTGTCAAAAAAGTGGTCCTGTTCATCTTGATCAGGCTTGAAATAATTAGAAGAAAACGTTTAAGCAAAGTCTATTCTGCAAACATCTATACAGAGTTGTTGTCAGTAGTCTTGAATTAACAACACTGTTTAGAAATGCAGCAATTTTTACCCTACTGCCAAAACTAGACCAGGTAGGTCATTAGCAGCTGATCAAAATAATATGCAAATGCCGTAAGCAAGACTGCAATAAACTTTCTTTAGCACTTTTGTAAAACTAATAATGCAATTAATCTGACTAAGTTTGGGGGATTGAAGTGGCTTAGAAGGCCAAAATAATAAACAAACAAACAAACCCCAGGTTAAACTAGTTTAGTGCATTGTATGTGCAGGACTGCCTCTTTTTCACAAATCGAGCATCCTTGAATTTGCTTGAAGACACATTTGCATGACTGACCTAACTTCATAAGCATTCCAATGTCATACCTGTGCTGCATTTAATTATTGAAATAGTTGTGAGCATGAAAAAGAAGGGAACATCAAGACTGGATTCTAACTTGGCCAAAATTTTATTTAAAAGTTTATTAAAAAAAATAAAAATTCAAATATATCACCTCTGAAAACCTCAGACCTCTGGGTGAAAGAAAACTACGTTGAATCCAGCTGTTTCATTTAGTACCAAAGAACCCATCATTCCTTGCTGCACAAGAAATCTTATACTGTAATGTCAATTACTTTTTTTTTTTTTCGTAAGATCAAACACGATAAGGCCTTTAGTTTTTTTACCTGGAACTTATGAAGAAACCACCACCAGAAAGAATCTTGCAAAATCGCAAGAGACGCTTCAGAAAAAAATAGCTTCTTCAAAACTTGAGTATTCACACCCTGTCCAAAAAAGAAAAAAAGACACAGGAAAATGAAGTGGACATTTTTATGCAGGCATGTCTTGAGGGCGTCCATTTGTCTCACGGCTTATGTGTTCAACATGGTTCCAAAGCTATTACTTAACAGTGAATATATTTAGAATTAAACTGACAAATATTATTTCAAGTTTCTTTTCTACTTCATTAATTTGTTCAGAGGTTTATATCGTAAATAGAAACACTGGTTTATTGTACTGGTGCAGACATTTTATTAATCAATTAATTAGTTTATTATTCTATCTTGATAGTTCCATCCAAAACATTATGACAATGGAAAATATGAATTCTATTAAAAATAGATTAAGAATTTATTTCAATGGACAAGTTATCTCAAAACAGAAACAGGAACCAATGGAACAGCTTGCCCTCGGAAGTTGTGGGAGCGCCATCACTTGAGTCTTTCAAGAAGAGATTGGATTGCCATTTGTCAGAAATGGTGTAGGGTCTCCCACTTGGGCGGAGGGTTGGACTAGATGACCTACAAGGTCCCTTCCAATTCTGATTATTTGTTATTTGTTATCTGTTGCAGGAAACTGGACCACCTATTTTGCTAAAACACAGCAGGCTGACGGTAGATCTGGATCAGTTCTTTATTCATGCCATGTTGTAGCAGAGGTTATCAACCCAGGAAGAAATCTTGTACAGAAGTGAACTTGGTTCCAATCTCATAAATTTAAGCAAAATCTAGATGTATGGGACACACACACACCCCGGTTGTAGGTTTTATCATCCTACAGCCGTGATCTTGTGAAGCAGAGGGAGAAAAAAGAAGGAATTAATGCTGGATTGCCCCTCTAAAATCTAGAAGCTTTATTCCACTGTTTGAAGGAAAAATTAAGATCAGATTCTGCCCGCTTAATTTTGTTTTCATGAAGTCACAAATTCACAGTAAAAGTTTTTAAAAAATACCCCCCCCCCCCTTTAAATCATGCTTGGTTCTCAGTGACTTGACAAAATGTAGTTTTCTTGGCAAAAATAGAGAAGCTGTTTGCCATCTTCAATTTTTTGTTTTTTGTTTTTTTAAATCCTAATGAAATGTCCTGTCCTTTCTGTAGTGTCACATTCTGGCAATTACAAGAGCAGGAATATATTTATCCCAGTTTTGTCCCAATGTCTCACTTGCTCACAGATGCCTTCTGTTTCACAAATGTATGTTCCATTTGGTGCTGCAATTTAAGTTAAACGAAAAATTGATACCTTGAAATTTTGGACTTTTAGAACCAAATCCCAGAGATGTGCAGGTTCTAGATTGTTTGGAAGTTTTGTAAGCTTCCACAAATTGAATCCAGAAAAACCGGCATTCTAAAAAAGAAAAAGAGCCACAACCATCAGAGCCCATGAAGCATCCAAGTTTGAAATGCATCGTGCCATGAGACATTTTTTTCTTTTTTCTAAAAAAAAATCTAATATGTGGATTCCTAATCCAGAGCAGCACATATGATTAAATCCTCTGTTTTGAAAGTCCTGTTTCTACTGACCATTTGAATGCTATTTGATTAGGGGCATATTTTGAGTGGAAGGAACAGCAACTGAAGGGCCCATGGCTCTACATATACAGCATTCCAATCCAACAAGAACTATAACTTCACCAGATCAAAACAGTTTTTTTTTTAATTGTTAAACATACTTCATACAATGGCTGAATTTGCATAGCTTATTTAAACCATAATAAGGGCTTGGTTTTGTCCCAACAAGGGATAAAAGATGCTTGAACAAAATAGTTTTCCATGTTTTAAAATAATTGCTTGGAAAAACCAAAGCTGTAATCTATATCTTCTTCCAGAATGGTAGCCTTATTGCTTAAGTACATTTTCAGGTTCAGATGACAAATACTTTGTATAAATTAATTTTTAGAGCTCTATTCCCAGTGGTTTGGAATTGATCCATTTCATCACTGACTTTTACACCATAGAAATTTACCTCAAAGTCTTTGTTACTTGAGTCTTTTGGAGCTTCAGTAGGAAACTGAAATACATTTTAAAGAAATACATCATAAAGATATGGAACTAGAGTAGATGAAGTCCAGATATAGAAAAAGAGAAATTTCCAAGGGGGAGGGTGGAAGTCATGCAAAATCTCATACACTGAGACATGGCACAGCACAACATTAATATCATTTTGCGATGAAAACTTAAGAGAAGGTGTACTGCATATAACTATTCTGACAAATTGCTTAATAGAGCAGAATACAAATATTAACTATACACATTAATTTTAGTGGCCTGTCATTTAAATAAAACATTTACTTACAAGAAGCTCAAACATCCCATTTATGCATCAGTTTAATCCAAAATACTGAATGAATGAACCAGGACAAGCAGACTGTTGGAAGTCACCTCACTTAAGGTGGGGGGAAAAAACAAGGGAATTGTTTGTATACATAAAACATTTCAGTGGAATGACATGCCTCCAGAAGTTGTGGATGCTCCATCACTGGAAGTTTTTAAGAAAACACCGGACAACCATTTGTTTGAAATGGTAAAGGGTTTCCTGCTTAAACAGAGGGTTCGACTAGAAGACCTCCATGGTCCCTTCCAACTCTGTTATTCTGACAGGTTTTTTTTTACCCTAAGACCAACACAAGCAAACTTCTTAGCAGACCCCAGTTCTCTCAGTGTAGCAATCCATCTCTTAAGGGAGGGGAGGAGGTGTATCCAATGCATGAATTACCTTCACTTCTATTTTTATTTTCTTCTTTGAAGTATCCTGGGATTCAGGAGAGGAAGTTACCTCATCTTGAAAACAAGAAGAAAAGCAGATAAGAATTTAAAGCATCTTCCTAGATATAAAATACAGTTCCCATTTTGTGGGAAAACATTTACCTATATTTTCTAATACCACTATTTAATACTTCCAACATTAACATAAACACCTATATTTTCAAGCATGTGCAATTAAGACATCTTAAAATAATTAAAGTGATTGGCCAATGTGAGAACAGAGCTAAGCTTTAGACACTTAGTTAGTATTCCTAAAGTTAACACCGGGACCACATAATATAAACAACTGCCTAAAGCCTCAGATCCAAAGATTAATCATGCTGTTTTATTTATTAATCAAAAATTAAATTTCACTGAGTCCAACACCACTTAAGCTCTAGGCCACCAAATAGATAGATAGATAGATAGATAGATAGATAGATAGATAGATAGATAGATAGACAGACAGACAGACATACATTC